CCACGGAGACGTCTTCGGACAGCGCTGGCTCTGGGCTTTGAAACGGAGAGGAGCACCGCCTCCTAGAGTCAGGAACGACTAGCACATATGGGCAAGGGGAATCTTTTACCTTAACCTCGGCAATCTCTTTTTCTGGAGATCTTGCAAATCTCTTCCCTTGTAGCTCTTCCCCAGGCATCTTTTAATTTGCACAAAGTGAGCAACTCCTGGGTTGCGTTTATATCTAAACCTCCCTCCTATTTCTTTTTTGAAGCCAAGCCAAGCCCAATCGAAGCAGTTGACCCATAGATGGAGGGGGAAGAAGAGAAAGGAGCAGGTTGACCGGGGTCGGAACAAACTCAAAACGTGTTTTTTTTTTAAAAAAAAAATTAAAAAGCTGTAAAACATCACATATAATTTGGCACGTCGGCTAAGAAAAACGGGAAGTGGTTTTCGTGCGAGTCTCGGCTTGCAATTCCGCCACGTGGTTGCCGAATCACTCACAGATTAAATCTGATTAAATCTCTGGGGTTTTGGAGCTGAGAAAATGCAGCAAATGTCACCCACCCGTCAGCCCTGGCCTGTTTTTTTGTGGGCCTCCTGCAACGCAACATCTTGTGTCTAGACTAAAACCTACATTTGATTGTATCTATTCAGCCTAGAAAGTGAAGTAAAATCAAAAAGCATTCCCCCCCACCTCCATTCCTTTTCTAGTTGTGCCTTTAATCAGTTTGTCTCTCCTTCAAGAGGATAAATTGACGAGGGGAGAAGACTGGAGAACATCTTAACAGTCTTAGACTATCAAGTTGTCTTCCTGCAACACAACATCTCGGCTCTAGGTCCTCTGCAGAAAAATCTTCCTTCTTGTTCCCCGTGTTTAGTTGTGGCCCAGAGCTGGCAGCAGAGTCAGACAGTGAGGAGGCTGGGGAGAAACATGGGCCAGTCCTGGGGGGCTGAGGAAAGCTCAGACGAGGGCTCTGCGTCAGAGGCAGAGAGGGAGATAGACAGCAGTGAGGCAGAGGAACAGCTGGAGCCTGTTCCCAGTGTGCGCATGTGCAAATCTGCCAGAAAACAAGAACAACTAAGAAAGCAGGGTCGACCTCGGAGGTGATTGGCCCCTCCCAGAGGAAACAAAAGAGGAGCGAACGAGGAGGGGGCTTTTGCAGGAAATAATTCCTTCCTTCGGTCGTTTCAAGAGTGGAAAGTTCTGTTTGTGACTGTAAGAGACTCTGTGCCAAGTTTTGCCTTGCTCTGCGTTTAGAAACTAGTTATCTGACCGCTCTCCAAGTGAGATAAGGTTCATGTGGATAAACATTCCTCTGAAAGACTTTTGCTAAGCCTTGCGGACTGTAAATGAAAGGAATTCACAGTCTTGTAAATAAAAGGGATTTTGCCGGGACCAAGAATCTGCTTCTTGCTTTTTAAGGAAGCCTAGATCAGAACAGGTTCATCCGTCCCACCACCTTTGAAAAGCCACAAATGGACAACATGGAGTTTATGCCACATGCACATTTTCTCCTGGATCGCTCCAGCCCTGGAGCTCCACCGCCACAAAAAACATCTGTGTCTAGACTAAAAGCTAAAATTGATTGTATCTCTTTGGCCTTGAGAATGAAGTTAATATCAAAGGAAATCAAAAGAGAGAAGTACAAATTACAAGCATTTGCAGGCGACTTAGTTTTCATCTTAGAGGAACCATTTAGAATCGGGCCCGAGACTTGTAGAGAGATTAGAGAAATATGGACTAAAAGTAAATAAGGAAAAAAACCTAAAATGGTGGTTAAAAAATCTTACAAACAAACAGAGGTATGAATTCATAAAGAAAATGAATGTCCAGATAGTGGAAAAGGTGAAATACTTAGGAATCTATCTAACAGTAAGATCAAAGAGGACAACTATACAAAATTAAGGCATCAAATTAAACTGGATATGGAGAGATGGAAGATGCAACTTTCCATGATGGGTAGAATAGCAGCAATAAAGAGGAACTTTAATCAGTTTGTCTCCTTCAAGAGGATAAAACATCTTGAAGGTCTTAAGTCTATCAAGTTGTTCTCCTATATCCTAGGCACCTTGATACATGAAGATACCACACTTCTCACTTTAATTGCGGAACAGCCTTGAAGTCAACAGTTGACTTCAAGGTCTTGGAAGTCAACAGTTGACTTCAAGGTCTTGGAAGTCAACAGTTGACTTCAAGGTCT